GAGTGAAAAAATGTGGAGAGAAATTTCAAGAAATGAGGGTAGAAAAATAAAATCACAGATCACAAGGGCTGAAGAGTTTGAACTCTATCCTGAGGTCACTGGGAAGCCGCCAACAGGTTTTAGACAGAGGAAAAACACATTTAGATCACCATTCTGGCTGCAATGTGGAAAACAGACTGAAGAGGTCAAGAGACAATGAAACCAGTACAAACAGTACCGAGGAAATCCAAGCAAATGGCCACAGAGGAAGGATTTTATGAGGGAGCAGCAGTGAGAGAAAAACTACCGAGGCAGCAGTGACAAGAGTAATGAATGACTGGTTATAAGGAGGGAGGGTGGTGAACATTAAGAATACTCAGGTTTCTGATCCGAATATTTGTATAATCGGGGAGAAAGAGGTTATCAATTCTCTGAAATCACAGTCTGAAGGAAAAGAAGAATCCTAAAGGTACAGCCAGATGGAAGTGTACCCAGGTCCTCAACAGTTAAGTGAGCCATTCATTTACTCATTCAACAAATAGTTTATGAATGCCTATCAGATGCCAGATGTTGACACATTGAGAAACAAAGACATAGTCCCTGCCCTCAAGAATCTCAGAGTATAACAAGACAGACAGACAATAAAAACAGGTAACTATGTTAAGAGTGACAAATATAGTAAGTCTGGCCTTCAACTGACACACAAGGAGCACGGGTAGACTTCTAGGTTACTTCTCGTTTCTGCTCAGTCAAAGCCACTTCTCACGCTGATGCTCAAATTCTTATGCAGCACCAACCATCAGGCATGCATAGTGACATCTCAAGAAAACACCTATCCACTGTACATCTAAAGTGATCATCATATTGGCAACTGAAGATTTGAATTCTCTGTCCTGCCACACCCCCAAACACATGACCTTCACTGAAGATGTTCAAAGTGGAATTTCACATCACAAACTAAAACGCATTTCACCCAAAATGATACTTTAACTGAATCAATGACACAATTCATTTTATATAGCACTAAATTATAAAACTTGCTCTATATATACACACTCGTATACATTTAATTTGTAAACTGCTGACTATGTGATAAACTGTGTCTATCTGCTAGACAAAAAGTGATCCCAGGAAGAGGGACCACTAGAACTCAGTGACTAGTATAAACTACCCAGTGTAAGTTTTGCTGTGTGTGTCTGGTGCCTACTGAATGAGTTCTTTCCTAGTGAGAGATGCAAAAGGCTTTGGGATCACTAAGAGCCTCCTTCCCAAATGTACTCCTGCTGCCCTCTGTCTTGCTAACAGTACAGCTACCTAGCCACTCCCCAAATAGAAACTTCAGAATCACCTTGTCTCCTTCCTCTCCCCTCCTCATCTCCAATGAGTCCTGTCAATTTACTGGCAAACTGTGCCTTGGTGGGCCCTACTCATTATCCTCAGTCGCTGCCTTGGTGGAGACTCTCCTTTTCTCTCATCTGGTCAATGTGGAGAGCCTTCTAACTAGTCCTTCCCTTCTCAGTCTCTCTTCCCATCCATTCTCAACACAGCCTCCAGTGTTAGCTCTCTAAAACCCAGGAATGATTCCATCTCTCTCCTGATAAGAGACTGATATGAGCCCTGTGATGAAAATGCTATTTGTAAAACAAATATACCAGCACCTGCCATAGTAGATCCTCAGTAAACATTTGTTGAAATTAAAGTTTAAAAGCTCATATTTTCTTACTAGATTTGTGCCTATTAAATAGAAACTAAAATCACTAACTGACTTGCCTCAAAGAATACAGGTTGTTTTTGAGTTTTTGGTGAGAATTTAACATGACTTTATTGACTTTTCTGTTTATAAACATAACACACAATCATTTAAAAGACGGAAAAATCTCTGGCTATCACATCTTGGGCATGAGTGGTGATGGTCAGCTTTGTACCCCATGAATATTCATAACCAATAAAAAATAAACAAACAATAATATAAACAGAAGCTAATCTAAAATATCCGTAGTCCCACTGTATTAGTCTGTTTCGTGTTCCTTATAATGAAATACCTGAAACTGGGTGATTTATAAAGAAAAACAACATTTATTGCTTACAGTTTCTGAAACTAAGAAGTCCAAAGTCCATCTGAGGGTGGTGACAGTGACCCAGGGGTCTCACACTGCAAGATGGTGGAAGCAGAGAGAAAGAGAGACAGAATCTCCTCTTCTTTTAAAGCTCTCAGAACCATGCCCTTGATCACCATTTTTAATCCATTCACTAGGGCATGGTCCTACAATCCTATCACCTCTTCAAGGCCCCAACTTTACAATTACCATAACAGGATTTCCCACCCTCTTAACAGTCACAATGGGGGCCAAGTTTCTAATACATAAGGCTTGGAGGACACAATTCAAGCTTCAATGAGTTTTGGGGGGACATAATTCAATCCACTACATTCCGCCCCTGGCCCCTCCAAAACTCATGTGGAAATTTGATCCCCAACGTGGCAGTCTTGGAAAGTGATTGAGTCATGGGGGTGGATCCCTCATAAATGGATTAATGCTCTCCCTGGGGGAGGGGAGATTAATGAGTGAGTTCTCGCTCTATTATTTCCTGCGAGAGCTTGTTGTTTTAAAAGACCCTGGCGCCTTCTTTATCTTGCTTCCTCTCTCACCATGTGATCTGCTTGAACCCACCTAGAAAAACAACATTTATTGCTTACAGTTTCTGAAACTAAGAAGTCCAAAGTCCATCTGAGGGTGGTGACAGTGACCCAGGGGTCTCACACTGCAAGATGGTGGAAGCAGAGAGAAAGAGAGACAGAATCTCCTCTTCTTTTAAAGCTCTCAGAACCATGCCCTTGATCACCATTTTTAATCCATTCACTAGGGCATGGTCCTACAATCCTATCACTTCTTCAAGGCCCCAACTTTACAATTACCATAACAGGATTTCCCACCCTCTTAACAGTCACAATGGGGGCCAAGTTTCTAATACATAAAACTTGGAGGACACAATTCAAGCTTCAATGAGTTTTGGGGGGACATAATTCAATCCACTACATTCCGCCCTTGGCCCCTCCAAAACTCATGTGGAAATTTGATCCCCAACGTGGCAGTCTTGGAAAGTGATTGAGTCATGGGGCTGGATCCCTCATAAATGGATTAATGCTCTCCCTGGGGGAGGGGAGATTAATGAGTGAGTTCTCGCTCTATTAGTTCCTGCGAGAGCTTGTTGTTTTAAAAGACCCTGGCGCCTTCTTTATCTTGCTTCCTCTCTCACCATGTGATCTGCTTGAACCCACCTGCTGCCTGCTGCTTTTCCACCATGAGTAGAAGCAGCCTGAGGCCCGTGCCAGATGCAGCTGTCCCAGAATCGTAAGCCAAATAAACTTCTTTCCTTTATAAATCACCCAGTTCCGTGTGTTCTGTTATAAGCAACACAAAACGGACTAACATACCCACCATCCGCAGATGGCTAACACTTCAGAACTTATTTTAATTTTGTTATCTAATCTTCACAAAAATCCTATGAGATAGATGCTTTTATTATCTCCCTTTTATAAAAGAAGTTTAAAGAAAGCAAGTGATTTCTGAAAAATAAGTGTAGCTAAGAATTAACCACAAAATGTCAGTATCTTTCCAGATTTTTTCTACTGTCTCTGTGTGTGTAAACCTTTTAAAAATGGGATCAGTATACACATACTATTTTACAGCCTGCTTCTCCCATCCCACTGAATATGAAGCCATGAATAGCTTTTCAAGTCAGTCAACATCATCATTTTTATTAAGGGCAAATACATCTTAATCTATTGATTCCCAACTGCCTACTATGCCACCTATTACAGAGTAAGCAAATTAATATTTGTTGAACAAGTGAATGCCATAATTTATATAAACAAACCCTGTCTTGGAGGGTGGGGGATGCAGATGGACTTAATTACCCAATGCATTACTCCTGAAGGATCCAGTGTCCCACGGTGGACCTACCATGCTTCTCAAAAGGAATGTCATCTTCTACAAATGGTTCAAAATCTTCCCGCTGCTTTATCATGTAGTCCACTGTTTCTTGTCGGTGCTTGAGATGATTTCGTGAGTGTCCCTCCAATTGATCACCAAGAGCTCTGAACAGGCAATTGCTGTCAAAACAAAAATGTTGGTCAAGATTTTTCAAAAGCGAACTTGGTTCATCTAAAACAATGATGCTTTGTGCCAGGCCATCCCATAGAAATCTTTTATGTACAGGAGAGGTAAAGCTTCAACTCCTAACAGGCCAGTACTCCTCCCAAACCCTGTAGGGAGAGCACTAGGGCAGATATTCAACCACATTACCTTCTTGAGAAGCAACAACTGTTACCCACTTACCAGCTGGGCCTTGGCCGCTTCAACAAGAGGAGTTGGTGATACACTAACCACCAGACCTTATAGGCCATTCCACACCTAAGGGCTATGATTCCCAGATCCCCTTCCAAAATGATGTCATAGCTGCTGCCTCTCTTTTGAAACAAGTTTCACTACAGCTGTCCAGCTAAGTAACCATCCATTTACCAAAGAGTACCCAAAAGATGGCAATTTGTCAAGCTCCTAGCACAAGTCAACACCCTGTTTGAGTCCTAAGAACATAGTGGAGAAAGCCACAAGCAGGAAAGCACTTGGACAACAAACAGTTGTACTAGAGAAAGACGCTTCTCCCCTTGCCATCTCAGCTGTCACCCTTGGCCCAATGATGCCATTGTTATTCCTGCCAAATGAAAACTTTTAATACTGTACTTTGTTTATATTAAATTAAAATGCTGGCAATAAACTAATAGAGTTATCTTTACCTTCAAATCCCTCAAAAACTTCTAAAATTCCAAACTGTATCACAAACACAGAGGCCCAGATACACAGAGACTGAAACAAGACAAACACAATCTGGTATCCTCAAAACTAAGGAAATAAAACCATTCTGGAGCCAAACAGTTGCCCAGTTTCACACCAAACTGTTTACTCTTCCAAATGAAAAACCATGATATTCTTATTCCAAAATATAAACTCATCACTTTCAAAAGGATTTCAGACCTAAATGTGGAGAAAAAGGTTTTTGTTTTTCAACTCACAAAAGTGAGTTTTCAATAGGAAGTTATAGAAAGAAAGGAATCTAATGTATAATGTATAAGGATTTATCCTTTTTTTTTTTTTTTTTTTTTTTTTTGCAGGGGAGAGGGAGAATGTAAGACAGATTCTATAAATTAGAAACTAAAAAGCTCTGCATCAATCTGGGACAAGATTTTAGTAGGAGCTGGAATATAGGGTTCTATACACTAGACTGAGGTGTCTGTTGCTAAAATCTTTAACAATGGCAGTCTTTTTTCAACCCTAGGGAAAAAAGGAAGCTATGGATAAAATGTTTTTAATTTTAAGCTTTTCTCTCAAACTTTTCTGAAACCTTTAACATATGCCACCACTAGCCTATTCTTAAATCTAGTTTAAGATGTGTAACTTAGTACAAAATGCGTATTTAGTTATTTTACATTTAACATGTTCACAGTATTGTAACATGCTTGCTAAGAATTTTTAGTAACATGGGAAAATGTTCTCCATATAAGCAAAAAAGTAGGTTTAAAACTGTATACACTGCACAAGCTCAACCATGTTCACCTGTATACACACAGACACACACACAAATGTATGCAAAGAAAAAACACGGAAACCACTTAAATAGTTCTCACAATGTGCCAGGAACTGTTCTAAACACTTTACATGTATGAAATGTGCTTAGTCCTCACAACTCTGAGACAGGTACTGTTACTGCCCCCAAGAGTAATCTGTCCAGGGTCACAAAACTAGTAGGTGGTGGACCCAGAATTCCAACCCAGGCAATTCAGCTCTAGCATGCACCCTCACTCAAATGTCAACACCAAAATGTCAGCAGTAGTTATCTCTAGGTAATAGAACTAGGAGTTAATTGTTAAGTCTATTTTAATATACTTTTCTATATTTACCAAACTTTCTCTGAGCCCACTAAAAACAAGTCAAGAATGACTGAAATCACTTATTTTTCTGATAGGGTTACAAGGTAGTGACACAGGAAATATGAGAAACACTACAGTGACCTAGGTTCCCTTAGGGAACCTAGCAAGAACACTCAAGATACTTGAGAACAAAGCACTAGTGCCCAAAGGACCTCTAAGGAGATCTGGGCTGTTTCCTGTGTCCATACCCTCAACAGAGCACTACAGCAGAGCTTCTCAACTTCCAGACTATTAACATTTGGGGATAATTCCTTATTGGGGAGGCTGCCCTGTGCACTGTAGGATGTTTAGGAGCATAGTTAGCCTCTACCCACTAGCTGCCAGCATACTACCACCTCCCTCCCCACCGGTTGTGACAACCAAAAATGTCTCCAAACATTGCCAAATGTCCCCTGGGGGGCAAATAATCATCCCCACTTGAGAACCGCTGCCCTTTAGGGATATCTGTCAGGACTTGAGTTTGAGTTTACGAAAAACAGCCAATTACATAAGCAGCATGTGAGGGTTTTGAGTGATGTCAACACCAAAATGTCAGCAGTAGTTATCTCTAGGTAATAGAACTAGGAGTTAATTGTTAAGTCTATTTTAATATACTTTTCTATATTTACCAAACTTTCTCTGAGCCCACTAAAAACAAGTCAAGAATGACTGAAATCACTTATTTTTCTGATAGGGTTACAAGGTAGTGACACAGGAAATATGAGAAACACTACAGTGACCTAGGTTCCCTTAGGGAACCTAGCAAGAACACTCAAGATACTTGAGAACAAAGCACTAGTGCCCAAAGGACCTCTAAGGAGATCTGGGCTGTTTCCTGTGTCCATACCCTCAACAGAGCACTACAGCAGAGCTTCTCAACTTCCAGACTATTAACATTTGGGGATAATTCCTTATTGGGGAGGCTGCCCTGTGCACTGTAGGATGTTTAGGAGCATAGTTGGCCTCTACCCACTAGCTGCCAGCATACTACCACCTCCCTCCCCACCGGTTGTGACAACCAAAAATGTCTCCAAACATTGCCAAATGTCCCCTGGGGGGCAAATAATCATCCCCACTTGAGAACCGCTGCCCTTTAGGGATATCTGTCAGGACTTGAGTTTGAGTTTACGAAAAACAGCCAATTACATAAGCAGCATGTGAGGGTTTTGAGTGCTCAATAATTCAGCATGAGACAATATGTAATCCAGATACCAAAAAAAAAAAAAAAAAAAGAATGGGCTCTTAGCCTGCAGTAATAGTAGTAAACGTGCAGAAAAAGGAGGGGGTGAGGGGTTGTTCTATTCTTTGAAGTCAAACCACAGCTAGAGTACTGGGTACCACTCTCAAAGTCTGATCCCTGACTAGGAACATCAGCATCACCTCAGAACTTAGAAATGAAAATTCTGGGGCCCCACCCCTACTGAATCAGACACTCTGGGGCTGGGCCCAGCAATTTAGTCCTTCCGGGAGTTTTAAATAGCACTCCAGGTGAGGCTGTTACGTGGCTAACGTTTGAGAAACACTAGTCTAGAATCTAGACTCTAAATCAGCAGTTCTCAATTATGGCTGTACATTAGAATCACCTGTGGAACTTTTAAAACCACTGTAGCTGATCCAGGGGAAAGCGTAGGTGCTACATATTTTCAAAAGTTCCTCCCAGGTGATTCTAACCAGGGTTGAAAACCAATGAGCTAAACACAAAAGACAGGGCTGCTCTACAGGTGATAATGGGCACTAATGGATAATTAGACACGATGATTTGTGAATACCTTTCCACCACTGAGATTCTATGACGTTAAAAACAAAATAAAAATAAAACTACTTGTTCGTGGGACTGCCCGGTGGCGCACTGGAGAGTGCCCCGCTTGGCCGGTTCCCGCTCACTGGCTGAGCGTGGTGCCGGCGCAACACCGAGGGTTGCGATCCCGTTACTGGTCAGTAAAAAAGACAAAAAGGAATAAAAAAAAAAAAAACTACTTGTTTGTGAAAGGGATAAATAGCTAAAATTAGTGACTCTTCAATGTTTTAATTTTAAAACACTACTAACTGGTAATGTAATTAAAATACAACTGGACATCACTCAGAGTACTAATATTGTACTGTCTAATCCAATTACAGATTCTTTTTACACTACAGCCAGTCATATTTTTAAGGACATCAAGGTTAGACTGTTTCTTTCCTGTTTTGAAAATGAATCCAGTTTATGTGGGTGCATCCTCCAGACAACCCGCCAAGTACGAAGGTGGTCCATGACTCATTACAAAACCCCACAAGTAGCTCCCTTTTAATCTATGCTAAACTGACAACACATGGAAAGGCCACATTAGAGGACACAAGCTAATTCATCCCCAAGCCCCCATAGGTTCCAGAAAGCTACAAGTACCATATTGCCAGCAATGAACATGCCTATAGCCCGATGCTATCTTAGGCATTGCAATCACACCAAAATGGAAAGAGGGAAAACTGGAGACTATCGATTCTTTTTTTTTTTTTTCCTTTTTGTCTTTTTTCGTGTCTGGCAACGGATCGCAACCCTCAGTGTCGCGCCCGGACTGGACCGGGACTGGCAACGGGATCGCAACCCTCAGTGTCGCACCCGCACCTC